CATAATTCGGTAAATTCTTTAGCCGGTAATTACCCGATAACCGATTAGTTGTTATAAATATTTCCACCCCATTTCTTGATTATATTGAATTAAAGTTAATTCTGTGGAAGTTTTACAAAAATTTATAATTTATTTTGTATATTTAAACTAATTGTACTCTAAAATAAGAGGATTTTAAAATTAAACATCACAATTTATTAATTGTGAGCTAAATATAGTAATTGTTATAGCTCTTTCCTGGACTGTAAAAGCATTGAAATCAATTTTAAAACCGGAATTTTAAACACATTTCTTCCATTCACTACAAATGCATTGTTTGGGACTTTGAAAGCATCAGCGAAAGCGCAGTTCGCGATCACATCCATAGTTAGACAGCCGTACATATCCTTAACGTTGATCTCATGTTTATCTTTCAAATATTCACTCAATGCATTCATAAACTCCTCCACAGACTGTCTGACCAATGGATACATTCTCCGCATTTTGCCGGAAGTGAATACAGGAGTAGTTATGGATCGGACTCTCTTCCAGTCTTCCCCTTGAAGTTCAGGCAATATCTTCCCCACAATCGGGTGTTTACTGCTTAGAGAAATTGAATTTCGGTCCACAAATACATGAAAATCTTTAACAAGAATTTGTTGAATGAGTTTTGGTTCCGCCACTTGTAATAATGGTGTGTTTCCACTAAATATTCTGTATTTAAAATAATTTTTTTTAAATTTAAAAAAAGTATATTAAAAGATATTTGGTTTACCCATAAATGTTTCCATATTTTTGTTGCCATTTTGTTTCCAATTCTGGTAGTGATGTAAACAAACGCTCCCATAGATTACCAACTATTGGCAATGGTCTAGGTCCGTTCAATCCAAGTTTTGTAAAATAGTTAAAGTTCCTGGTCAAATACCTACATTGGTGTAATTTAAATGAAATTTTCAATTGAAAATTAGTTTGTAATATTATGCAGCATAATTTATGCTAACATATGCTATATGCTATCAATATGTAATACATGTATATGCTAAAAACTAAATTAGTATATTCTAACTTACCAATAAATAATAGGAATTGTTGATACAATTGAGAAGAATTTCCATGAATTTGCAATTATTTCAAACATTGTTACTATTTTTCATAATAGTTTTCGATTTATATTACTTTAAAATATAACAATTTAACATTAACACATTTATTTAGTTATCAATTAGTTGTTATCAATTAACATTAACATAGACACCTTGATTATAGTCATAAAATAAATTTTTAAATAAATTTTAGTCAGATTTTGTCGATAGGTAGTATGTTTTAAGCATAAATACAGTTTGCCCTCATGGACTTTCCATCTGGGCTGCAAAATATGTGTTAATGAGTTATAATGAAACCCAGAGACATTACAGTTTGCATAGGGCTCACCCGGGCTAACAAAAACTTATGTTAAAATTAAAATCTGTTAAATGGCTTGTGTTAAAACCGAGTGCTAACTGTATGTTAGATTTTATTTCTAAATTTAAAAATGCACATTTTAAATCATTTTGTTTATATTTGCATATAAAGATAGATAATAGATCATCTTTATAAACATAGATAATAAAAGTTAGATATTTATTAATATAATAATATGTATATTTTTATTATAAACTTTTTTTCATTAAATTTCCAATTAATCAAACATTATTTGAATATAAAGTAGTGTTTTCCTGTGACCAATGGCACAGAACTTTGCTGTTTCTAATTATTATTGAAAGTCATGCGATACGTAACATTTGGTTTATAATTTAGTTTAATTTGAGATTACTAATTAAATTTCACTTATTGTGCTCTTTTAATTATTTCACTATAAAATATATTATTGATAATAAGTTGACAATTAATTTATTAGAAAAATTTCATTTTATTGGCTTTAAATAATAACTGTCTAGACAATGATCTTAAATATATATGTTCAAATATAAATGTTAATTGTTAAATGTTAAAAAACATATTGAAAATGTTTTAGTACAAATGTTTTACATACAGTATAGCAATAATTCAATCCTTAATTTTAAAGCCAATTATTAAAGATTTAACACTATTTAAGAGAGAATTTTTACGCAATATTAAGGGAACTTCCGTTTGCGGACTTCGGGTAAACGGAAACCTCCGTATAATATGAGCCAAACCTAATGTGATGGATAGCATAAACAAGTATTTGTACGACTTGTCCCTTAGAAATTATGTGAAATACATTCATAATTTAAATTCATGTATGTTGTAAACATAGATATGTATGGCATGCTATTCATTAATTTAGAAATGCACCTAAAAATTAAGTTTATTATTTTATAATTATTTAATTTTGTTTATATTTGTGCATTTAAAATAAAATATAAAACATAAATATTTATATTAAATTAAGACATCTATTTAAAATGCGTTTAATAAACTCGTACAAGTTTTATTTAAATTAATTATAGTTTATTGTAAAATTATTAAAAGTGCATAATAAAGCAATATAAATAATTAAATTAAATAATAAGCCAAATGTTAATAAATTGTGATTAATTGATTGTTATTTAGATACTTTATATAACTAACTTTTGATCAAGAAACTGTTGCTCAATATTACCATCACAATTCATGCCTAAAACCCCAATTCATTATAACAGCATTTAATATGATTTATATTAAAAACAGTTGAATAAAATCAGTCAATCTCTGGTTTCAATTCCAAGGACTACAGATTTAACGCCTGTTAGGCCAGAATTTTTGAGTAAAACTATAGGAACTTCTGTTTGCGGACTTCGGGTAAATTGAAACCTCCGTATAATATGAGCCAAACCTAACTTCGCTTCCATTAATGCAAACCTCATTCCAATGCAATTTCGAGGACCGGAACCGAAGGGCAGATAAGTGTAGGGAATTATTTGGTGACGATTTTCGGGTAGAAAGCGGTCGGGAATAAACTTTTCGGGGTTTGGATAGTAGTCCTCCGAGTGATGGATAGCATAGATCGGTATTTCTACTATTTGTCCCTTATATAGAGTAATCCCGGTACCGCCCAATCGGTAGTCTTCGGCCGCAATCCTTCCTATTTTAATAGCCGGTCCGTGAAGTCTAAGAGTCTCAGCGATGACTGCATCCAAAAACGGGAGTTTTGTCAACACTTCGTAATCAATCTCTCCGTTTGTGTCCATCGAAGACATCACTTCTTTGTATAGTTTTTGCTGAACGTCTGGATTGAGTGCCAATT